GCTGATTAATATGCTCTTGTATACACATATCATATCAATTTTACCCATTCATGTGTTGATGGACACTAAGGTTGTTTCCATATCTTGGCCATTGTGAATAATGTAATGCTGTAATGGACATGGGAGTCCAGATATTTCTTCCATATCCTGTTTCATTTCTTTTGGATAAATAACCAGAAGTGGGATTGCTGGATAGTAGATTTAGTTTTAATTTTTTCAGGAAACTCTATACTATTTTCAATGGTTGCTGTACCAATTTATATTCCCAACAACAGTGCACAAGTGTTCTCTTTTCTCCACATCCATATTAACACTTGTTATATCTTTTCTTTTGATGATAGCCATTTTAACAAGTGTGAGTTGACATATCATTGTGATTTTGAGTTACATTCCTGTGATGATTAGTGATGTCGACCACATTTTCATGTATCTGTAGGCCATTTTTACATATCCTTTGGAAAATGTCTATTCAATTCCTCAGTCCATTTTTTAATCAGATTTTTTTTTTGGCTATTGAATTGATATGAGTTCTTTATATATTTTGGCTATTAACACCTTATCAGATATAAGGTTTGCGAAAATTTCCTCCATTCCATAAGTTCCCTTTTCATTTTGTCAATTATTTATTTTACTATGTAGAACTAATTAATCTGATGTAGTTCTTCTTGTTTCTTCTTGCTTCTGTCACTTGTGGTTTGGCGTCATATCCAAAAACTGATTGGCAAGACAAATGTCAAGAAGACTTTTTTCTGTTTCTCCCTAGGAGGTTTCCAGTTTTTGGTGTTACATTTAAGTCTTTATCCATTTTGTGTCAATTTTGTGAGTGGTGTAGTATAGGGTCCAGTTTCTTCAACATGTGGTTATCCCATTTTCCAACCCCATTTGTTAAAGATACTATCCTTTCCCCATTGAGTATTCTTGACTCCCTTGTCAAATATTAGTTGGCTGTATAGTCTAGGGTTTTTTTTCTGGGCTCTCTATTCTGTTCCATTGGCTTATGTGAATATTTTTATGCCAGCACCGTACTTTTTGATCACTATAGATTTGAAGTATGGTTTGAAATCAGGAAATGTGATGCCTTCAACTTTATTCTTATTTCTCAGGATTCCATGGTTATTTGAAGTGTTGTTTGTCTCCATACAAATTTTGGCATTGTTTTTCCTATTTCTGTGAAAACAACTTGAAATTTTTATAGGGATTGCATTTAATTAGATGGCTTTGGGTAGTATGGGCATCCTATCAATATTAATTCTACTGATCCATGTATATAGACTATCATTTCATCTTTTCTGTCTTCTTTCATTTCTTTTTAATGATGGCAATATATTCTGAGAAATGCATCATTCTGTGATTTTGTCATTGTTCACAAACATCACAGAGTGTACTTATACAAACCTCGATGGTATAGTCAACTACACATCTAGGCCATATGGTACTAATCTTATGGGACCATCATAGTATATGTGGTCTATCATTGACCAAAATGTTGTTATGGGGTGCATGACTGCATGCAGGTCTTTCATGTTACTTGTTAAATTTATTCCTAAGCATTTTATTGTTTTTGATGCTATCACGAATGGGAAGGTTTTCCTTATTTTTTTCTTAGATGTTTCATTAGCGTACAGAAATGCAACTCATTTCCACATTGGATTTTTTTTTGCTGAAAATTTACTGAATCCACTGATAAGTTTTAACAATTTTTTGGTGGAGACTTTAGTATTTTCTGTATGTAAGACATAGCATCTGCCAACAAAATAATTTTACTCTTCCTTTCCAATTTGGATGCCTATTATTTCTTTTCTTTGCCAGATTGCCCTGGCTGGACTTCCAACACTATGTTGAATAAAGTAGAAAGAGTGGGCGGATGCTTTCTTTCTAGTTTTAGAGGAAAAGCTTTCAGCTTTTCAACATTAAGTATGATGTTAGCGGTGGGCTTCTCATACACGGCCTTTATTATGTTGAAATATGTTCCTTTTATACCCAAATTGTTGAGCATTTTTATCGTGAAAGGATGTTTTATTTCTCAATTATTTTTTCTGCATATATTGAAATGATCATACGATTCTTAAAATTCATTCTAATAATGTGGTGTATCAAATTTATTGTTTGCTTCTGTTGAGCCATCTTAGTATCCCAGGAACAAATCTCACCTGATCATAGTGTATGATCCTTTTAATACACTGTTGAATTCTGTTTGCTAATATTTTGTTGAGAATTTTACTTCTATATTCATCAAGGATATTGGTCTGTAGTATTTTTTTCTCCTCTGACTGGATAATTTCAAATGGCTTGTCTTTGAGTTCACAGATTCTTTCTACTGCTTGACTGAGTCTGCTGTTGATGATCTGTATTCATTTTTTATTTAATTCATTTTATTCTTTATCTCTAAGATTTCTGTTTGTTTATTTGCTTATCCTCATTAAAAAAATAGTCTTTAATATTTCTTCAGCTTTATGTTTGATTCTTTTTATGATTTCTGTCTCTGTTGAACCTCCCATTTTGTACATATATCATTTTCCTGATTTCATTGAGTTGTCTATCAGTGTTCTTTTATAGCTCACTCAGCTGCCTTGAAACAATTTAATTTAAATTCATTTCAATTTAATGATTTGCATTTCCCTGCTGTTGGTCACTAGGAAATTATTATACTTCTTTGGCGATGTCATTTTCCTTAATTTTTCATGTTCCTTGAAGTCTTGCATTGGTGTTCACATTTAAAGAAGCAGTCAATTCTTCCAGTCTTTACTGACTGTCTTTGTAAGAGAGACAGCTTCACTTGTCAGTCTGACTAGGAGATCTGAGGCTTTCTCAGAACTTTTCTATGGATATCCCTGCTCCACATATCTTTTTCCCACTTGAGTGGGATTTCTTCAGATTATATGCCTTCTCTCGATCTCACAAGGCTGGATCAAGTTTTGAGAGCATCTCACTTACTTTCCTTAGAGCAGAGGCCTGAAATACTCCAGTTTGTGAGAATTCTCCTAAACTTCCAAATTAGTCGCAGCCCTTCTGCGCTTGCTTACTATCTGTCTACAAAGGCTCACTCTCACCACAAATGGGAGCACACATCTGGAGCCATCGGAGTAATGGGAGTGAAGTGCATGAAGTGTGGGGGCCAGTTGGGGGTAGTCTGCAGGCTAGGTGTCCCCAGTGTCTTATGGGTAGACTTTCTAATGGAGTCCACAAATTGTTTAGTAGGAAGAATCATGAAGGGGTTTGTAGCATCCATTTGATGAGTTCTGAGCTCTGGCTGTGGCCCCAGTCCCTTCTAGCCCCTCAACTTTGCAGATCTCCTCAGTAATCCAAGTAAGACAGAAAGAAGTGGGCCTCTTGGGTAACATCTTGCATGGCTGGGGAGGTTAGGCACTCATTCCCGGGATCAAGTTTTCTGCTGTAGCAGAAATCACAGGTCACTGTGTTCTCTCCTGGCACTGAATCATGCTGCCTTGGGAGAGGAGGAACACAGACAAAGAGAAACTGTTCCTTTTACCCTCTTCAATGCAACTATTCTTGGAATTATTTGCTCCATGGTGGGTTGAAACCTTTACATTGGACTCCTAGATTCCTAAATATATTCTCATCCCTGAGTGTCTGTCAAAATCAATTTTCTGTTGTTAGGATGACAGCAGAGAACACCTAGTCTGCAATCTGCTGATATTACTCCAGAAAGAATTTCTTATAATCAAAAAGCTCAAAGGAAGCTGGTATGGATTAGAAGAGGAAAGTTGAACAACATTTGATTAGAAAACTATTCAGGATCTTGGAGACCATTTCATACAGTGTAGATTTTAACATATAAAAGGGGAAGTTATTAAAGTATTTTGCTCAAGAATGACATTCTCTGAAGTAGAGTTTTTTGAAAATCATAAAAGTTCCTGTGTGGAAATTGGGTTGCAGGTGTGCAAAAGTGAAGGCAGGAATATCTGAAGGCTATTGCAGTTAGTCTAGGTTAGATACAAAAATGGCCAGGATTAGATCAATTATAATGAAGACTGATAAAGGAGAATAGATTGAATGTATAATCTGTGGGTAGAATCTATACATATAGTGATCAGTTGAATAATTAATCCTATTTCTTATTAGTCAATTATTATAATAATAATAAAAATGATAGTGTTATCATATATTCCTATTGATTAATTGCTTGAGGAAAAATCAACTTTTTAAGCAAAAAAATTATAGATGACGTTATTCTTCTAAATATAGTTGGACCCATTCATACTTGGTATAGTGGCTTCTAGGTGTGAGGATCCAAGTAAAAAAATGGAATTTTACACTATAAAAAGTGTCTTAGATCGACAGAGAAAAGAAATTAGAATAAATGTACTGGAAGGAAGGATAAGACTACTGTTATCTTCTTCATGACTTGCCTTTTCTATTCCAAGGTATCTTTTCTCAACATAACTTTAATCTAACCTAGAATCAGAATTTGAACTCATGTCTGCATTAATAGTAAACAAAAAATATTCTTTTTCTCTTAAAGATAGATATGGTTTAGCAGAAAGAGGGCTAAATTTAGCAGTAGAATATTTAGATTTAAATCTTCTCTCTGCCTTAACCACTCTTACAGTGCACATATTCTCTCCTGGCAGTAGATGATAGCATCCTTCTTGTCTAGAATTTCTAGCAGATTTATCAATAAGAAAAATGCTAGAGAAACAATTCTGTTCAAATGAAACCAGAGAAAAATATACAAAAAATGCCAATCTTAATTGAATATGCATCACATGGTGATGGCTTTTCTTAACATCACTTAGAAATTACTTTACATTTGTGTTTAACTTTAATCCTCTTTATTTTCATAACCTCTAAAAGAAGTTTTGAAACTCTGACTATGAGTATTTTCTTCCTAATTTCTCTTGTTGACTTTATTGAACTTTTTCTTATCAAAGCAATTGCATTTAATTTTAATCAATAATACAAAGTATGCTGTTCAAAGTTCAGCCCGACCTACTATAAATTGTTGAGAGGGCCAAGGAAGAGATCTCTGCATTGTGAACTTCACACACTTGATTTAAGCCTATGTTTTGTTAGAACAGGAGCTGATGATGAAGACTGCAAAAGGCTTTTGTGTTCTTTTCATGCTGCATCTGTGTTTCTTTGACTCTGGGAGGACTGGGAAAGTACTTGTATGGCCCATGGATTTTAGTCACTGGATCAATTTAAAAGTTATTCTGGAAGAGCTCCATCTTCGTGGGCATGAAATAACCATTCTGGTACCTTCACCAAGCCTTCTAATGGATCACACCAAGATTCCCTTTAATGTAGAGATCCTTCAACTTCCAGTAACTAAGGAAACTCTCCTGGAAGAGCTCAATACTGTTCTCTATGTAGCTGCTTTTGAACTGCCAAAACTTTCATGGTGGGACATGCAAGTAAAACTAACAGAAATGAGCAACCGTTTTTCAAGGACAGCCAAAAGAGTATGTGACAGTGCTATCACAAATAAGGAGTTACTCAGCAGGCTACAGGCAGCTAAGTTTGATATCTGCATTTCTGATCCTTTAAGTTTTTGTGGGGAGTTGTTGGCTGAGCTTCTCGATATTCCATTTGTATACTCTTTTAGGTTTTCTTTCGGTAATTTCATTGAAAGACTGTGTGCTGGGCTTCCAACTTCTTCTTCTTATGTTCCTGGTAGCACATCAGGGCTGACAGACAACATGACTTTTGTACAGAGGCTGAGGAATTGGTTCTTGTATGTAATGAGTGGCGTGATCTATTCGTATTTTCTACTTCCGGAATGGAATGAGTATTATAGCAAGGTTTTAGGTAAGAGAAATTTGTATGTAATAAGGATTTTTATTTTGTATGTAAAATGTAAATATTTATCTGAGTATATAAAAACTTTAAAGGTATTTTTAAGTGAGGACACAAACCCCTGTGGGTCTTGGAGTATTGAAACTGTGGCTAAAGAGTGGCTAAGATGTTCTAAGCCAAAGTAATGGATTCTTTTGTTTGTTTGTTTTAGATGTTAGAGTACTTACAATATATCAGAGAAGGAATAGTCTTTATATTTATACACAAAACCTGCTTGCTGCTACTAGTTTTTTCAGGTATCTGGAAAACCTACATCTAACAGTGTGATTTCCAACACTTTGGCCTCTTTCTCTCTTCTTTGTTTCTTTTGTACACCCTGTTTTATTTCTGATTAACTTGCTATTTCTTAGGCTTTCTGTTTGCATCCTATCCAGGCTTGGTGGCTTGGTTGCAGGGCTTGTCACATGGTGAGTAAAAAACTAGAAAATAAACGTATGTATGTTAGCTTCATCTGCTCTTGTCTCCCAAAGAGGGAAAAATTGGAAGATTTTTTTTGTGAAGGAACTTGTTTACAGACTTTTTAACTTATCTCACTGTTTTGTTGTTCTCATTCTATTCAAGAATGAATTAGAGGTCAACTAGTGAGCTTTGACCCTTTGCACAATGTTTCTCTCTATTTCAGCAAGTCCGTTTACCCCTTCTTTTTTCCTTTTACAGAATTGATTTTTTCACTCCAAAAAAGTGTTCATATAATTGTTAAGAATAATTTTGCATAATAAATTAGTTATCTTTCAGGAATCAGTACTATATTTACATTTTTAGGGGTTTTTTGAGATATAATTGACATATATTACATTACTTTCAGGTGTAAAACAGTGATTTGATATTTGTATATATTGTGAAATAATGAGCACAATCAGTCCAGTTAACATCCATAACCACACAGAGTTACAAATTTTTTTTCTTGAGATGGGAAGTTTTAAGATGACTTTATTAGTAACTTTAATACAGTATTAATCAGTCTAGTCACCATGCTGTACATTATATCCTTAGGGCTTATTTTAGAACAAAAATTTTGTACCTTTTGAACACCTCCACCTATTATACCCACCGTCCAACTCCCATATCTGACAAGCACTAATATATTCGCTGTATCCATAAGTTTTATTTTGTTTTGTTTTGTGTTTTTAGATTGCACATTTAAGTGAAATTATGCAGTGTTTGTCTTTCTCTGTCTGACTTACCGCACTTACCATAATTCCCTCAAGGTTCATCCATATTGAGGCAAATGGCAGGATTTCCTTTTTTCTCATGGCCTCATAATACTCCATTGTATATATACCATGTTTTCTTCACACATTCATCCATTAATGTATACTTATGTTGTTTCCCTGTCTTGGCTATTTTAAATAATGCTGCAATAAAAATGAGAATGCAGACATTTCTTTGAGATAATGATTGTGGAATTGTTGGATCATTTGGTCGTTATATTTTTAATCTTTTGAGGAAGCTCCATACTGTTTTCCATAGTGGTCACACCAATTTACATTCCCACCAATAGTGCACAAGGGTTCATTTTTCTCCATGTTCTTGCCATCATCTGTTATGTCTTGCATTTTTGATGATAGCCATCCTAATGGGTGTGAGGTGATAGCTCATTGTGATTTGGATTTGCTTTACCTTGATGATTAGTAAGGTTGAGCATCTTTTCATGTACTTGTTGGCAATTTGAATATCTTCTTTGGATAAATATCTATTCAGGGCTTTTGCTCATTTTTTCATTGGATTATTTGTTTTTTCACTATTGAGTTGTATGAGTTGCTTATATATTTTTGGATATTAACCAATTATGAGATATATGGTTTACAAATACTTTCCCCTATTTCGTCATAAGTTGTCTTTTCATTTTGTTGATCATTTCTTTTGATATGCAGAAGCTTTTTAATTTTGTGTAATCCCACTTGTTGATTTTTAATTTTGTTGCTTATGCTTTAGACATCATGTCGAAAAAATTATTGTTGGGAACAAATTCAAGAAGAATTTTTCCTATGTTTTCTTCTAGGAGTTTTACAGTTTCAGGTCTTACATTTAAGTCTTTAATCTATTTTGAGTTAATCTTTTTGAGTGCAGTAAGATTGAGCCTAGTTTCATTCTTTTGCATGTGAATGTCCAATTTTCCTAGCACTGTTTACAGAAGAGACTGTGTTTTTTCCATTGAGTATTCTTGGTTCCCCTGTAAGTTATTAGTTCACTGAATAAGCAATGATTTACTTTGGGGCTCTCAATTCTGTTCCATTGGTCTGTGTCTGTTTTTAAGCCAGTCCCATATGATTTTGATTACTGTAGCTTTATAATACAATTTGAAATCATATAGTGTGATTCCTCCAGGTTTGTTTTTCTTTCTCGGGAATGCTTTGGCTATTTGGATTCTTTTGTGGTCCCGTATGAATTTTAGGATTGTTTTCTGTGTTGCCAATTTTAACAGAAGTATCTCTAATTGCTTATCATTAGTAAAGTTTTTATCCTAAAATGTATTAACATTTTCCTTTGTAGTTGTGATCCTTTATTTTCTAAAGCAGCAACCCTTCTCCTTTCTTCTGGTATGTGTTCTAAATTTTCTCTGAGAAATTATTTCCTCACCAACTCACAAGAAATATGAGTGCTTCTAATGAAGTATGTTGCCCAGGAATATGACAGATGTTCAGGAAGGCATACTACCTAATGAAGGCCGACACATTGCACTGAGACTTTTTCTGGATGTTCTGTGACAGAAGCAGGTGCTTATTTCTTCTAGACTTGACCCTAAAAAAATGCGGGCGGAGAATGCTGCATCCATCACTTATCCATGGTCACAGTTCAAGTAGCAAAAGGCAAAAGTGAGAAAAGATAACTTAAAATCTCATCCTGGAGACGTTTTCTGAGTCCTGGATTAGGCAGTGACTGATCTACCACTGGATCTAAATTCTTTGTTTACTTCTGATTCTAGCAGTTTCCTAGTCAGTTTTGGAACCTCTTACATAGTGAAGCATGAATGATAGGGTATGACTCTGTCTCTGATTCTTTCCTAACTCTTGGCACTCTAGAATATTCTTTCTAGGAATATATCAATAATCTTAGAAAGAAAAATGAAGGCTTGATAAATAGAAGGAAAACATTTCTTGACTCTCATAAACTTAAAAATCCTATTAACTATATGTTATCATTCAGTTATTCAGAAAATAGAATCTTCTCTTACTAATGTATTCTACATATATTTTTCAAATTTTTAAAAATATAACTCATATCTCTTATAGAATTATTAAGTGAAGCATGCCATAGATATGTCCCACTCATCGAGGAGGAAATCATGAGATGGCAAATATGGTTCAAAAATATTTTGAGGAACTATTTATAAACATTTTGGGAAAAATAAGGAATGTTAAGCTAATACTACTAGGTTAGACACAAAACTGCTTAATGTCCTATAGGCAATAAAATCGTAATTTGGAGGGTGATCTTTTCTACCAGACAGAAATATGCAAGTTAACACTTAATGTCACTGTATCTAGATTCAGAAGTCCATAGTAAGTCAATACTAAACAACAAAGTAAAATATAAGCACATTTTCCTAAAGAATTGAAAAAGTCCTTCATTTGTTGTTCAACAATGCCCCTGCCTGATATCAAATAAGCATGCTGTGGTTTCTTTTGATTTCCAAATTTGGAACATAGTCTCATAGGTTCTTTATCAAAAACCATTATGTTTTACTCTTCTTGTACTATGTTGTCTTCATTTCAATAAGATGCATTAAGCACAGTAGATTATTACTAAGTAAATATTTAACAGGAAAAAGATATTATCTTGTTATGAAAGAGGGTGAATCAACTATGTAACTCTGCAATTCTACTCCTAGGTACATATCCAAGATAAATAAAAACAAATGTCCCTACAAATATGTACATGAATGCTCATAGGAGCACTATTCATAGTAGTGAAAGATGGAAACCCAAAAGTTCATTGACTGATGAATGGATAAACAAAATGAAGTATATCCATACAAAGAAATATTATTCGGCAATGAAAAATAATGAAGTAATGATAGATACTACAACATGGATGAACCTTGAAAATATTACACTAAGTAAAAGAAGGTAGCACCTAAGACCATATAGTATATGATTTCATTTATGTGAAATCAAATAAGATTATTCTGGAATAGGGAAATAGAAACAGAAAGTAGATTAGTAGTTATCATGGGCTGGGGAGAGGGGGAAATGGAGAATGATTGCCAATGGACATGGGATTTCTTCTGGGGGTAAGAAAATATTCTAAAGTTAAATTGTGGTGAGGGTTGCACAACTTTATGAATATACTAAAAACTACTCAATTGTGTATTTAAAAGGAAGACTTATATGGTATATAAATTATGTCTCAATAAAACTGTCATAAAAAGAGTGATGGAGCAAAGCATCACACAAAGAGAATAAGATTATACCCATGGCCGACACCAATAAGACACCAAAATGGGATAAGTATTGAATACAAAACTGAATTATGAATACATTTGTTGTTAGCAGGCTCAAACTCATAAAGTATTGATACTTGCCTGTGACCTCTTATACAGGTAGATTGTCCTGGTCATTTCAAAATCCCTCATATTTTCTGATCAAAACTTTACTGCACTTAGAACACCAAAGAGAATATTCAAAAAGTCATATGGTGGGAAACTGTACAGTAGTTACAATTTCCTCATGTCAGTAATCCTGAATATATATTTTGAAAGGATGCTAAATCTCTGGGTAAGCTTTCTTATACCATGATAACTGAATGGAATTTAGAAAGAAGCACTGGCTGCAAACTAAGGAAAAAGATTTAATTCAGCATTCTTTTTCTGTTACTGTTTAATAGCTACCATCTCATTTGAAAAGTACCCCTTTTGTACTGTTTTACAAATAAATGTGTCAGAATAGCAAATATTTTGCCCGCAGATTATTATGCAGTGCTATATCTTCTCCAAAGAAGACAAAGTCTTGTGCAACAGGAACTTTCATTTTCTATAGCAAAGGAGATAAGCACTTTCAAAATTTATTAAAAGATTTCCATTCCTGGTAAGATGTAATTAGTTATGGAAGCACACTTGAAAACACTATAAAAAGCTAGATAAATTGCAAAAGTCATTTTTCAAAGATATCAAAAGGCTTTTGGAGCACCAAGGGTGAGATAACTTGGAATTGGAGAAGAGGAGGAGACAGAGCCACCGTGAGCTGAGGATCACTGCCTGAGTTCCCTGTTCCTGCTGGGAGCATTTGCCAACTCTGAGCAGGGACTAGGGCTCAGGCTTAGCTCAGGTAGGAAGACAATATTCCTGGCAGGCGTTTGGCCTTGTTCTAGACTGAAATCCTTGTTTGGTTATTCATAATCTCATTATTGTATACTTTTCATTGGGGGGACGTCAATTGATTTCACATGGGTTACATAGGCCCGATATTGGTTCTTTAAGGATTTTTCTTAGAAAATTGGATGGTAAAATATTTTCCAGTTAACAAATCAGTTTCTTTGTCCTCTATCACTCTTCATTTTTATTCAGGAAAACCTACCACAGTATGTGAGACTATGGGGAAAGCTGAAATGTGGTTGATTCGAACTTCCTGGGAATTTGAATTTCCTTACCCTTATCTACCTCACTTTGAATTTGTTGGAGGACTACACTGCAAGCCTGCAAAGCCCCTCCCGAAGGTAATTAAATGCCTTATGTTTGCTTCCTTGAGTATTTGTCTTGGGGAATGATTTCTGGTTTGTTATTTATAGTATTTGACACTCAAACTGACAACATGGACATAGGAAATAGTGGACATTATCCTCTTGGACTATTATGCTGCCATAGGTAGCTTATAACATTATCATGGCAATCATTAGTGATGTTCATCAAGTATGCCAGATATTGGATAGAAATGAAATTCCTAGCCCTGAGTTTAGTGGAACTGTGAAGTATTCTCTGGACAATGACTATGAGCTAAAGTGTCCTGGAGCACTTCCAGGCCCAACACTTAATTGGCAAGTCCATATACTCCAGAATTCTCTTTTCCTTTGTTACATCAACAGGCTGTGTTCCAAATACTCTGTCAACCTGAGTTCTGGATTAAAGAATATATGTACCAACTGCAGCTCAATAGATGGACTTATGGCATGAGGAAGAAAGAAAATGCTGTTTTAAGCCACTGAGATTTTGTAGTTGCATGTTATTTAGCATCACCCTGTCTTAGAAATGGACGATAGTGAGGAAATTATAATAATTTGAAAAGAGATCAAATAGAGATATGATGGTTTATCAAAAAAATATGGCCGAAGTGCAGTAATAATGAACTGTTTGATTTGAATAGAAGGGAGAAATTATACTGGAGAAATAATCAGGGAATAGGTGTGAAAAAAAAAGTGCGCAATACTAAATATTCTTTACTTCAAATTTAAGCTGAGTGAAGGACCAATGCATAATTTTAAGCAGTAATTAGATATGGCTTTCCCTTTCATAAATCTTTGCTACTGAATTTTTTGTAATGGAATAAGATTTAAAGCAGGAAATGAGCTAAGATACAGATGCGATATTTCCTGCACGAAACTATATAGAAATCCAAACTACAATACGATAACAATTTTGTGTAGAAGTCGAAAGATTTAAGATGTATTTCAAAGAAAGTTAATAGGATTTGGTGATTGGCTGGAGATGGAGTTTAAGGGAGAGAGTTCAAGAACGAATCCTTGGCTTTTTGTTTCTTGGTATGTCTTTCTTCTATTTCTTTCTTTGTATAGGCAATTTAGTAGAAAATTTTGGCATTTATTAAGGCAAGGAACTAAAGAGGAACAATTGTGAAGGAAAATGATGCGTTCATATTTGGGCATGCTGAATTGGAAGTGCCAATGCAGCGCCTAGTCAGCGACTACTGAACACAAGTGTCTTCATCTCAGGGGACAGGTCTATGTGGTTTTTTTAACTTTTTAATTAATAGAGTTTTTTCCAGATCCATTTGCATTCATAGAAAAATTGAATAGAAAGTGCAGAGAGTTTCCACCTGTCTCCTGTCCCACTCCCACACACAGCTCCCCCACCATCAATACCCCACGCCAGTGTGGCACATTTGTTACAATCAGTGGACAAACAATTACACATCAATATCAACCAAAGTCCATGATTTACATTAAGGTTAACTCTTTGTGATGTACATTCTATACGTTTTGATAAATGTATAATGACTTGTATCCACCCTGATAGTATCATACAGAATAGTTTCTCGGCACTAAAATTCCCTTGTGCTCCACTCATTCATCACTCCCTGTCCCTAAATGCTGGGAAATCACCAATTTTTTTACTCCCTCAATAGTTTTTCCTTTTCCATAAGAAGTGGTTTTAAATTAATGATGTCAAGGATTAAAAAGACATGATTTTGTACAGATTAAGTAACCCTAGGTAAAAACAGAAATTGCAGAGGAGCAGAAGACTATGAGCTAGATGCCAAAGGCTTCTGTGAACAGGGGTGTTCCTGAAAGTCTGACAGGTGGCATACTGAGCACGGGTAGTTGGTAATACAGATTAAACACATAAGGACAAGGATATTTTTTAGAAGCAGAGGGAAGAAAATGGTTGAAAATGCAAGCAGAAAAGGGGAGGACACAGATCAAGCCTCTGTCTGGACCCTGATGCAGGTAGGATAAAATGAGTAGAGTATAGTGAAAGGATTATAGGGCAAGACCCAAGTTTCTGGTAAGACAAGGAAGCATGTGAAATGTTCATTGAAGAGGCTGAAAATACTTGGTAATTTTTAAATCATGTAACAGAAATTTTTACATTATCTTGTTATATGAATGCAATAATTTAATTTTGACAAGTTGAATAATACCGGATATCCATTCTATATTTTCTAAACCATAGCTTCTGCTCAGAAAGTTATTCCTTACATATTTTGAGCCTTCTTCGTATTATTTCATACTTCTGGATAAAATATCTGTGTACCTCAAAGATTCTATTCTAAAAGCATAGAAGTAAATTGTTGGGACAGTGTGAGACTTACTTTTATGCATATATACTACATCTTAATAATTCAAATATATTCCAAATGCTCCTACTCCCTTATTGATCCAATAACACACACATATATCTATATATAACATAAGTCTGTGTGTATCTATTTATTTTACCAATGATGTGGCACGAAGGATATATTTAATGTTTCTTGTATGACCTTTAAGAATACCCAGAAAAAGTCAGAGCTTTAAGGTATTTCCAGTGGAATCTTATGTCCCCTGTCTCCTCTCTCCTCCCACCAAAGCACAGTGGAGCCTTGCAGACACTACAAAAGTAAAATCACCATCTCTGCATTCAAATAATGCACAGGCTTTCACACTCATGAAACAATTTATTCCCAACTCTACGACGGCAGTAAAGTTTCATTAATATAGAAAGCATTTTTACATTTGATTTTTTGAATAATTCATGTTAAATTTTGGCATTAGAATATTTCAAGATTTTCAACAATATTCCTAAATCTAAAAAGCAGATTAAGGACAGCAGATCTTCATCTTAGATGCAAATACAACAGCCAATGTGACGTGCAAAGTAACCCATATTAAGAGTGAAAAGTAAAGTAATCATGAGGTTTGAGGCTTTAATAGACAGAAACATGATGACAGAACCTGGTAAAACTTGAATCTTTCCACAAACAATAACCATATTTGTGTGCTGTGTTTGAGTTAGTGTCTGTACAATTTCATATGATAAATAAGTGGAAGCCCTTTTGTCAACTACATTTGTGCTTTAATTTCTATGCAGTAAATTAGTCTGGATCATTTGTTTAGTCTCAACTGTCCACAGCTGCTTCTTCCCTTGAGTCAAAACCTTATCAGTAATCAGGCAGCTATGTCAGAGTAGTAAGATTAGTTTAAACAGTATCCAAGGAATATCTTTGGAACAGGCTATTTTTTTCTTAAACTTTTGACCCCATCTACAGAAGTAGAGGAAGAGCCACACTCACCCGTGTCTAGGTGTTCTTCTCACACTCAGCTAAATAATCTGCTAGAAAATGTGGCCTAATCAGGGTTCTACAGTAAGACTCAAATGGACTTTCATCTCTTCCTTCTAAGGGAGACATAGGGAAAGGTTGGGAAGAAAAGGGAAAAATTTCCCTCCCACTACAACATGAAAAAAAATGTCACTTTGATTTTGAATGCTAAAACATATGTTTGTGGAATCATGGAATTTAAGTTTTGTTTTTGTTTGCTTTGATTGAACCTCAGGTCCTCAGAATGTGTTAATCATACTCTCAACTCACACCTTTCCATAACCAGCCCATAGCAGACACTCCTTTTGATTTATTTTCCTACATTTTTCCTTTATGCTCTTCTCCAACATTACCCTGCAATCAGTAGACACCTGGTCAAGTGCACCTAATATTTATTCTTTCATTCCAATTTGTATAGGTAACTATGAGTCTTTGAACAATATAAAGCATTGATTTGAGTTTATGTAAGTGATGTTATGCTGTAATTCACATATTCTTTCTTTTATTACTCTATATGTTTTTTAAATATGTATCCAAGTTTCTATTTGTAAATGTATTTCATTCATTCTTGATGTTGCAGAGAATTTTGGTGTATGAATTTACCACATTTTGTTCTTTTGTTTCCCATAAAGGACAATTAGGTAATTTTATAATTACCTATATTTATAATTAGGTAATAAAAAATAATTTTAAAAAGATTGGTATCCTTACATATTAAGTCAATCCATCTATAACCAGAGTGTGATGGTCGATTTTATCTGTCAATTTGCCTGGTACCCAGAGATTTAGTCAAACATTTTCTGGATGTTTCTGCAAGGGTATTTTTAGATGAGATTAACATTCAAATAGTGGACTTTGAGTAAAGCAAATTTCTTTCCAGTATGTGAGTGAGCCTCACTCAGTTAGGTGAAGGCCTGAATAGAACAAAAGACTGACCTTTCCAAAGCAAGAGAAGAGTCTGCCAGCAGATGGCTTTCAGACTTGAACTATATTGGCTCTTCTCTGGATCTCCAGCCTGATGGTCTACCATGAAGATTTTGGACTTGTCAGGCACCATAATCACATGAGCAAATTCCTTAGATCTCTCTTGAATGATAGATAGATAGACAGACAGTAGATAGAATAGAGAGATATACACACATCCTGTTGGATCTATTTCTCTGGAGGACACCAACCAGTACACACAATATACCTCTCTATCTACTAGGATCTTCTTCTATGTCTTTTACCAGAATTTTAAACTTATTTCAATAAAAGTGCATGTATCTGTTCTCTTAAGCAGTTTATATTTTTAATTATTACAGTGAATGATGACATTTTAAACTTTCAGGTTAATCATTGTTATTGTGAAAAAATATTATTAATTTTTGTGTAGTGATTATAAATCCAGCCAACTATTATTTGTAATAGTTTGCATATTGGTTATTTTTGTTTCCCCAATATTGTCAAGTATATATGTTCAAAATTTGTCTTGCCTGTTCAACCCTCAGATATGGTTTTTTGTTTTGCATTTTTGATTGGCTTAGTTTGGATAGTACTTAAAATGTGGGGTGCAAAGATTTTTTTTACTTCAACATGATTAAATATGCAATTTGAATTTTGAATTCAAAGCCATACATATTTGGTCAGAAAATTATATGGTTACCTCATTCTTAAATGTGTTTCTAGAAGCTTATATAAAGTACAAATGGAACAAAAATAAAAGAAAATTTAAATTTACAAAACAGAAAAAAAAAGTAAATATACCTTTAGCATGTCATTATAATGGCTGATTCAACATAAAAGTTAATGATAATCTTCTCAGTATCCAAGGCTAAATATGAAATGAAGTACCATAGCTATTTATCTTAAGTAAGAGTCAAATGTTCTTCATTTGGAGCATTGTGGAGAGGATGTTAGAAGACAGTAGAGAATATTAAATGTGGTCATTGGCTTTTCAATCAACAAGCTTAACTTAGAAATTTGACTCTGCCACCTACTGCTGTGTGGCCTTGAAGAAAGTACTTAATCTCTCTGAGACAGCCTTCTCATCAGCAAACGTACACATATCCCTTAAGATGACTGTGTACTTAAGTTAAATGATACATGTAAAGAGCTCAGCATCTGGTAGAAGATAACTAGTAGTCAATAATTTGTAAACACAAAGACATACCTCCAAAATGTTTGGACCATGCTTGATAGGAAACTTCAATTTAAATCATTTTTAATTTGCCTAATAACCAGTGATTTCAGGTCATATTACATACTTCAAAATGGTTACTTATTGAAAAGGCAGAACTGTTTTAATAAGTGAGATACATTGAAAAAAGTATGTGATTATTGTATTCTCATAACTCTAGACTTTATATTACAAGGACTGTTTTCTTTACAGGAGTTAGAAGAGTTTGTCCAGAGCTCTGGAAAAGATGGAGTTGTAATATTTACCCTGGGGTCAATGATCCACAATCTCACAGAAGAAAAGTCTAACATGATTGCATCAGCCCTTGCCCAGATTCCACAGAAGGTCAGATAATCTTATTTTTTGAAAAGTAGCTTTTGTAAAATCCCTGAAGGTCTCCTTAAAAGTGTACTTAACCAGGCTGGCTCTGTGGTGTAGTGATTAAATTCACGCACTCCACTTAGGAGGCCTGGGGTTTGCCTATTTGGGTCCCGGGTGCAGACCTGTGCACCGCTCATCAAGCCACTCTGTGGCAGGCATCCCACATATAAAATAGAGGAAGATGGGCACAGATATTAGCTCAGGACCAATCTTCCTCAGTGAAAAGAAGATTGGCGGTGGATGTTAGCTCAGGGCTAATATTCCTCAAAAAAGAAAAAGTGTACTTCACAAATGTAGGAAGTTATTGCTATTGTTACTGTTGATTTAACTGAGCCTTAAAGAAAGAGTTAGAAGAGAGAGAGTAAATGTTAGAAGAGAGTAGCTGAACACATTTGACTGTCTCTTGCTTTAAAACTGGAAATACTATCAGGAAAGCATATTGCAGTATTTTCTTTAAATAATGGCCTAAAACTAAATCATACACTGATCTTAAACAATCTGTCAGGTTTATGGCTAGGTTTTAAGACTTCCATATCATCTATCTTGTAATCTAATCTTGTTTTGTTGTTCTTGCTTATTTTATAAATCTAAGGCATACACACAAAGTGCAACTAACATGACAGAGAATAAAGGAAAAGATATTCAAAAACATGGCCTTAATTTACAGGTTCCTTAGAACTATATTTCCTCATAATTAATGGTTTTGGACCAGGCTCTGGTTGAGCCTGGAACTGACAGCTTAGGTTCCTGGAATACTCCTAAATAATGATTCTTCTATTTAAACAGTTAAATATTTTCAGTAAAATAGTAAAAGTTTAGTGCAGTTCACTCTATGATATTCCTACATGATATGATTTTTTTATTAACATTTTTCTTCATTATAACTCGGTAATGTTATTCTTATACTACCAGGTATACTTTCCTTTTCAGTTTTAGTTAAAATAGACAACTTTAAAACAAATGACATTTTTAAGTTCTAAATGATCATAGCAATACTTGTGTTGATAACCAGATTTCTTTCAAAAGTTGTTTGTGGAAACAGCACTCATTTAAATATTAATCTAAACAGGATCATCATGCAAATATTGAATTTTCTATTACATTAAAATATGATGCTTAGGGGTGCCATCAGGGTGAAGTAGGAAGGACCAAGGATTTATCTCTTCATGTAAACAACAATTATACAAGAAGAAACTGTTTGAAGTAACTCTTTGAAGTAAAATCGGAACAAAGAGGTCTAGCTGAGCACTTGCACCTTCCAGAGGAACATATGGCTGGTAAATAGTGATGAGCTAAAATTGGTCAATTTTAGCCTTCAGCATAGCAGCAGCTTCAAATCTTCCATCATCCAAGCCCAGGGCAGGCAAAACGCCTGTATTTCAGGTATGATTTGGTGGATCTAAGGTTGGCAGGAGACCATATACTCCAAATATTGAGGTTCTGTATTCCGATTGTTAATTGTTGCTTTTAATCACTGAGGTAGAGTCATGGAAGTTGGCCACAGTTGTGCCAAGCCTTACTAGCTGAAGCAGCTGTCAGGAAATTTAAAGGAGCAGCACTATTTTTTTTCCTTTTTTCCCTCTTTCTCAATTGGGGAGCCAGATACCTAAGAAATAGGCCAGTCTAAAACAACCGCACATATGGTCGAATTTAGAAAGCCATGTGCATGTCCAGGGAGAGACACTGGCTCAGAAAATGTCAGATATGATGTAATATTTAACCTCAGGCTGATTATTGGCAAAGAAAACCCATTCAACAATCAAAAAAGAAAAGAAAAATCAAGCCATAAGGAAAGGGAAGAATCATATTCCAGAGTTAATATGCTATAAGAATCAAATGTCCAGGACTCTACAAAAATCATAAGGTGTACAAAAATATATGAAAGTATGGCTCACTCAAAGGACCAAAATAAATTAAGAGAAGGTATCCCTGAGAAAGCTTAGAAGTTGAAGTTACTAGAAAAAACTTTAAAACAATTGTCTTAAAGATGCTTAAAGAATTAAAGGAAGACATTGATAAAGAGAAGACGCAATATAGGAAAAGAATGAAAATATCAATAAAGAGAAAGAAATTATAAAAAGAACCAAAGCACAAAAAAAATATTGGAGCTGAGAAGCACAATAACTGAAATGAAAAATCCACCTTAGGGATTGAAAAGCAGATATGTGCAGGCACAAGAAAGAATTGGCAAACTTGAAGAAAGGATGATTGAAATTGTTGAGTCAGAGGAACACAAAGAAAAACAAATGGGGGAAAGTGAACAAAGTCTAACAGACTTGTGAGATGCCATCATGGTTGAAATGTCCTAAATTTAACGAGAGACATGAATCTAGAAATCCAAGAAGGTTAACAAACTTCAAGTAGGATAAACTCAGGGACCCACACCAAGACACATCATATTCAAGCTGTTGAAATGCAAAGACAATGAGAGAATCTTGAAAGCAGCAAGAGAGATGCAACTCATCACATAAATGATCTTCAAAAAGATGATCAACCAATCTCTCATCAGAAACCTTGGAGACTAGAAAGCAGCCGGTTGATAATCTCAAAATGCTGAAAGAAAAAATTGCCAATGGAGAATTCTGTATCAGGCAAAATTTTCATCAAAAATGAAGTAGAAATTAAGACATTCCCAGATAAACAAAAGTTGGGGTAGATTGTTACCACTAAACCTGCCTTGCAAGAAATGCAAAAGGGACTCTTTTAAATTGAAATGAAAGATTGCTAGAGAGTGACACAAAACTATATGGAATTAAAGATCTGCAGTAAAGGTAACGACTAAGGCAATTATTAAAGCTAGTATTTCTGCACTTTTGAATGTAACTCCATTTTTTTTACTTTCTCAGTGATAGAAAAGAAAAATGCATAGAAAACAATTACTAATCTTTGTTATTAGGAAAACAATGTATAAATATGTATTTTGTGATATTATTAACCAAAAGAGGGTGGAGGTATAAAGGAGAAGAGTTTTTGTATGCTATTGAATTTAATAACCAAAGGGTCAAAGAATAAATCACAGGGATAATGAAAAAATACTTTAAAATGAATGAAAACACAACAAACCAAAACTTATGAGATGCAGTGAAAACAGTTCTCAGAGGAAATTTGTAGCTGCAAATGCCTATATTGAAAAAGAAGAAAGATCTAAAATCAATAACCTAATTTTACATCTTAAAGAATTAGAAAAAGAAGGCAAACTAAACCCAAAACTAGTAGAAGGAAGGAAATAATGAAGACTAGAGCAAAGATAAATAAAACAGAGAATAGAAAACCAATGGAGAAAATTAGTGAAACCAAAAGTTGAGTCTGAAAAGATCAACAAAATTATCAAACATTTAGCTAAGCTGGCAAAGAGAAAGAAGAAGATGCAAGTAAGTAAAATCAGAAATGAACATAGGACAACACTGCTAACTTTACAGAGATAAAAAGAATTATAAGGAGGATATTATGAACAATTGTACACCAATAAATTAGACAATCTAGAAGAAATAGATAATTCCTTGAAACACACAAGTTTAAACTGACTGAAGAAGAAATAGAACATTTCAACAGACCTATAATAAATTAAGAGATGGAATTAGTAATCAAAAAATTCTCAACAAGGAAAAGTCACTGGTAAATTGTATCAAACATTTAAAGAAGAATTAAAGAACTGAACTAATCCTTTTCAAAGTCTTCCAAACATTTGCAGAAGAGGGAACACTTCCTAAATGGTTCTGTGAGGCCATATTTACCTTGATACAGAAGACAGATAAAGACGTCACAAGAAAATAAAATTGCACAGCAAAGTGCCTTGCAAATATAGTTGTAAAAGTCCTCAACAAAATATTAGAATATTGAAAGGAGTATTCACCATGATAAAATGGAATTCATCCAAGGAAATCAACTGTGTGTCAACATAAGAAATCAATGCAATGCATTACATTAATAGAATGAAGAAAAAAAACACACACAATGATTTCAACTTACATACAAAAAAAGAATTTGACAAAATCCAATATTCTTTCATGATAAAATGCTCAAAAAACTAGGAATACAGGGAAAATTCCTCAAGATGACGAAGAATACTTTTGGAAAACCCACAGTTAACATCTTACTTCATGGGAGAAACTGAAAGCTTTCTCTCTAAGACAGGGAACAACACAAGATGCCTGCTTTGACTGCGGCTATTTAACACTGTACTAGAAGTTCTAGCCTAGGATATTGAACAAGAAAAAGAAATAACAGACATCCAAATTGGAAAGGGAATGGTAAAACTATTTCTATTTGCAGATGACATCATCCTATGTAAGAAAATCTCCAAGAATCCACAAAAAGGCACTAAAACTAATAAACAAATTCAACAAAGTTTCAGGATACAAGATTGATACACAATAATCAGTTGTTCTTATATACACCATCAATGGACAATCTGAATGTGAAATTAAGAAAGCAGTTCCATTTACAAGAGCAACTAAATGAATTAAATTCTTAAGAATAAATCTAACCAAGGAGGCAAAATATTTGCATATTAAAACTGCAAAACATTATTCCTGCAAGACCTGAAAGAAGACCTAAATAAATGAAAAGTCATCCCATGTTCATGGATAGGAAGACTTAACATGCTTAAGATATGAACAATATCCAAATGAATCTACAGACTCAATGCAATGCCTATCAAAATTCCAACAGCCTTTTGTGTAGAAATGGAAAATCCAATCCTCAACCTCATATGGAACTGGAAGAGCCACAAATAGACAAAACAATCTTGAAAAAGAATTAAGTTAGAGGACTCACATTTTCCAACGTTAAAATTTAATATAAAGCTACAATAAATTAAACAGTGTGCTATTGGCGGAAGAACAGACATATAAACCAATGGACTAGAAGACAAAGTCAGAAATTAACCCTCGCATATACGGTCAATTGATTTCAAAAAGATTTAAGACTATTCAGTGGAAAAAGACAGTCTGTTAAACAAATACTGCAGGTAAAATCTTGATAGTCACACGCAAAAGAATGAAGTTGGACCCTTACCTTACACTATATGCAAAAATTAACTCAACATAGGTCCAAGACCTAAACTTTAGAGGTAAAACTATGAAATTTCAGAAGAAAATATTGTAGAAAATTTTTCTCACATTGGATTTGGCCGTGATTTCATACATAATGACATCAAAATCACAGGCAACAAAAGAAAAAATAGATAAATTGGACTTCATCAAATGAAGAACTTTTGTGCATTGAAGATACTACTAAGAAAACAAAGTACAATGTCTACAGATTGGGAAAGATTTTGCAAATCATATGTTTGATAAGGGATTAATGTCACCAATATGTAAATAACTCCTTTAACTCAACAGTAACAACAAAAATCCAAAAATGGGAAAGGATTTGAATAGACACTTCTCCAAAGAAGATATACAATTGGCCAATAGGTAGGTCAAAAGATACTCAACATCATTAATCATTAGGGAAATGCAAATCAAAGCACAATGAGATACCACTCTACATTCACGATGGTGGTCATTAATCAAAAAACGGAAAATAACAGGTATTAGTAAGATGTGGAGAAATTGGAACTTTTGTGCATTGCTGGTAGAAGTGCAAAATGACGTAGCCACTGTGGAAACAGTTTTGTGGTTACTGAAAAATTTAAACATAGAACTAACATATGACCCAGTAACTCCTATCTTAGCTATAAATCAAAAGGAATTGAGGCAGGAACTCAAACAGATTTTGTACACAATGGTCATGACAGCATCATTCACAATAGAAAATGAATGGATACACAAAATGTAGTATATACACAGTTGGAAATATTATTCAGTCTTAAAAAGGAAGGAAAATCTAATACGTTCGACATGAATGAAGCTTGAGGACAAATGCTAAGTGAAATAAGCCCCTCAGAACAAGAAAAATACTGTATGATTTCACTTATATGAGTACATAGAGTAGTCAAATTCATAGAGACAGCAAGTAAAATAGAGGCTATCAGGAACTGAAGAGCAGGGAAATAGGGAGTTATTGTTTAACCACAGAGAGTTTATATTTGGGATGATGGAAACGTTTGAGGTGTCAACAGTGGGGATGGTTACACAACACTGTGGATATATTTAGTACTACCAAATTGTTTACTTAGAGTAAAATAATAAATATCATTATGTATATATTACCATAATAACAAAAAAGGTAATGTTGCTTCTATGTGACTACCAAGTATGTAACAAAGTTCAAAACACTAGCAAATTCTTAAAGTGATTGTAAATAACATCCTCCCCTATGCTTCTGAAAACTCCATTTAAAAAATTTCCTTTACCAGGGGGGCCAGCCTGATGATGCAGTGATTAAGTTTGCCTGCTCCGCTTTGGCAGCCTGAGGTTCACTGGTTCAGATGCGGGAGCGGACCTATGCACCACTTGCTGAGCCATGCTGTTGCAGGCTTCCCATACATAATGTAGAGGAGGATGGGCATAGATGTTAGCTCAGGGCTAATCTACCTCAAAAAAAAAAATTCTCTTTATCAGAATGGCTTAATAACACAAATATGTAATTATTTCAGATACAGACTGTCTTTGTTTTTCTTTATCTACTAAATGAGAATTCCTCCAATGATGATAGCCTATTTATAAGGATTATTGCAAATATTTGAAAACATAGCTGTAGTTTCAAAGGTTTAAAAACAATGATTACTTAATCACTTAAGGCCTCAGTTTACTCATCTGTTACATGGAGACATTGAACTAGATTAATTCTAAGTAACTGAATCACGTGATTCTGAAAATCTTCTATTAGAGTAAAGATATTTATCTTAACAGGTTCTGTGGAGATACACAGGAAAGAAACCAGATACATTAGGACCCAATACACGGCTGTATGACTGGATTCCACAGAATGATCTTCTCGGTAAGATCAAAGAGAAGCAAAACTAAACACAGTTGAATGAGGGATAACCTGAATGATTACTCAATAACAAGTAAATCCAACAAACTTGTCTTCAAAACAAGCAGAAAAATCCCTTAATGTGATCTTCTTCACATTTCCTCTGGAGCTTGTTAAAGAAAAAATTATTCATCATAGTTGTTAAAGACTGTAAGGCACAATTTATTCAAGACCATCGTGATGAGTATAAGTACTACTGCGATGGACTTTTGCAGTGAGGCAGAGAGATTGGACACAACTCTGAATACAACAAAAAATAGTAAGGATTTTATAGCCAAGCAGCAGAGTTGGGGGCAGGTCACTGGATGGAAAATTACACTTGGGAAACCTCAGGGGCATGGGGAGACCCTGGCTAAACTGACTTACCCAGATTCTTGCTGAAGGCAGGTGAGGGTGATCAGACATCACCTGGGGGATGCCGACAGATTAGGAAACTGATCAGCTATAAAGAGTGATCAGATATTGAGGCTGGGAGATACTAACGAAACTGACTTAGTAGGATTCTTGCTAAAATTAGACAATGCAGAGCCCACACACAGAAGCCCAAAAATCATGGCCTAGTTGAGAGGAGAGTTCAGAGGAGCCTGAATAGAGTTTTGTCAAGGAGAAAATCTTTATCAGGCTCTAACATTAATATGGAAGTTGTAATTCTCCCACTTATGATCCAATCTCTCCCTCCTCAGAATCAGAATCAACATACCTTTAGATCAGGCTCTCATTAACTTTGGCATAGAATATTTCAACACTTCTTGATTCTCTGCATCCATTTTCAACCACCTGTCTTCTCTCTGCCTCACTATAACTATTTGAAAATAAAAATATGACAAGTGTATTCATCATTTGTAATATTATAAAGGGCTCCTTATTACTATAAAATCAAGTGGAAAATCCAATTTTCTTAAGCACAGTACTTCAGGATCTTGCCCAAGTCTATCTTTCCAGCCTGTTATGCCAACATTCTCCCACTGAAACCCTGAACATCCTACCTTCTCTTCCCCATTCACACAAGACTTTAGTTTCTTCAGTCCCTCCATTCCTTATTATTAATGTATTCCTTACCCCAAAAACTTGTCTACCTGGCAACTACTCTCCATCATTTAAATGCCACAGAAACCTTCTCAGAGGTTTTTTGGAATGAATTAATTGCTGGAATAACTAATTACTGCTTTCTTTAGAGTGTATAGGACTTTATATATGGCCTCATGGCACAGAATTCTATATTAGATGCTGCCTAATTGAATCAATGATTTATACAGGTGTCATGATTTTTCTGTTTCTGAAACTCTCACAACTTAGAATAATGATATATTTTTTTCCTGTTAGGTCATCCCAAAACCAGAGCTTTTATCACTCACTGTGGAACCAACGGGATCTATGAAGCTATTTACCATGGGGTCCCTATGGTGGGAATTCCCATGTTTGGTGATCAGGTTGATAATATTGCTCGTATAAAGGCCAAAGGGGCAGCTGTTGACGTAGACATGCGTACAATGACCAGTTCTGATCTGCTTAAAGCTTTGAAGGCAGTCATTAACAACCCTTCGTGAGTACAGAATATATTCTTTACTGAGAAGTATCTAGTATTTTTAAAGAAATAAATTGTTTCATTCAATTTTAAATTGATTTCTTTTAAGTAATCACCAGCACATAAATAATATCAAATACAATTGTCTTTTACTTCTCAAATTCTATGGAGACGTTTTGGTTCACCTGTTGCTAATGGGTAATAGATTACAACCTAATAGAAACACTAAATTTACTTAAAGAAAATAAGCTATTGTTTAATAGACACAAATCTTTATTTTTTTTAATAATAATAATTATTTCTTAAAAACTGCCGAAATTACCATTATAAAGAATTTAGGCAATATAACAAAAAAACAGAGAAACAAAAATTGAAAATCACTTATCTCTCCTCATGCAGCTATAACCATTCACCAATAGAGAAATAATACTTCAGATATTTCCTTTTGAAAATTTATAAATAAAAACAAAAAAGAACTAATTTTATAAAACTTGGATCATGCTGCTTTTTAACAAAAAATATTCTATATTGCTATATTTTAATATAAAACAAGAGAAAGAAAATAGAGTAAAATTGCGAGGTCCAAATGGTGACCAAGAAGACCCAGCTTCTCTGTCCCCTGACAAAGTCAATAATTGGAGAGGTATTCATGAACAAAATCAACTCCAGGAGAGCTCTAGAGTCCATTCAAGAAATTTTAGCAAAGAAGTGAAAGAAGAGAACTGAGAACAATCTCCCAAGAAGAGAAGGAATACAGCTTTATTTTGCCTACATCATTCCATACCCAAGGCAGCATTGCTCAGGGCCAAGAGGGAACTTCCCAGCTAGAAAGAGTTCCTCACTGGGAAAGGAAGAATGGGTTGAGCAATCAGCTTCTCAGGCCTTTTGGGGCACAGAAATAGAAAGAAAAATCTTCAATTTATATGAAGATACTAAACACCCCAAATAGCCCAAGGAGTTCTGGGAAAGAACAAAGCCAGAGGCATCACACTTCCTAATTTCAAATAGTAATAAAAAAAAAAGTGATGGTTCTGGCAAAAAAAAAAAAGACACAAAGACCAATAGACAGAATTAAGGGCCCAGAAATAAACCCTTGCATACACAGTCAACTAATTTTGAGAAGGTAGCCAAGAATATTCAGTTGTATTAGAATAGTCTCCTCAAAAAATTGTGCTGAGACAACTGGATATCACATGCAGGAGAATGAAACTATACATCTTACACCACTCACAACAATTCATTAGAAATGGATTAAAGACCCAAATATAAGGTCCCAAACTGTAGAATTCCTAGAAGAAAACATAGAGGAAAACCTCTGTGTCATGAGTCTTGGCAATGATTTTTTGGATATGACGCAAACAGCACAAGGAACAGAAGCAAAAATCAACAAATGGGACTATGTGAAAGAGGAAGGCTTCTGTAAGGCAAAAGAAATGATTACCAAAGGAAAGGCAGCCTATGGAATGGGAGAAAATATTTGAAATTATATATCTGATAAGGAGTTAACATCCAAATATATAAATAACACATATAACTCAATAACAAAACAAATAAAAAAACACATAGAAAAATGAGAAGTACTAAATGGACATTTTTCCAAAGCATACACATAAATGGACAAGAGGTACACTACAGGGTGCTTAACATCACTAATTGTCAGGAAATGCAAATCAAAACCACAATGAGATATCACTTCACGTCTGTTAGAATGGCTGTCAAGAAAAGACAGGGTATAACAAGTGCTGGTGAGGATGTGGAGAAAAAGAGAACACATACCCACCTTTGCTGAGAATGTAAATTGCTACAGCCTCTATGGAAAACAGTAAGGAGTTTCTTCAAAAAATTAAAAATATGACTACTATATGATTCAGCAATCCTACTCTGGGTATATATCCAGAGGAAATGGCAACAGGATATGGAAGAAATATCTACACTCCCATGTTTATTGCAGCAATATTCACAATGGCCAAGATATGGATACAACCTAAGTGTCTGTCAATGGGTGAACAGATAAAGAAGACGTGGTTTACGAATACAATGGAATATTATTCACTGGTGGGAAAGAAGGAACTCCTGCCATTGGTGACAACATAGATGACATTAAAGCCATTATGCTAAGTGAAATGTCAGGCAAAGGAAGACAAATACTTTATAGTATCACTTATATGTGTAATCTAAAAATACAAACCCACAGAAACAGAGAGTTGACCCTGGTGGTTACCAGGACCTAGGGTTTCAGGGAGTGGAGATATATTGGTCAAAGGGTGCAAACATAAATATGTAGGTTGAGTAAGTTCCAGGGATCTTTGTAAAGCATGGGGATTATAGCTAATAATACTGTATTACATAGCTGAAAGTTGCTAAGTGTTTAAATCCTAAATGTTCTCACCACAAAAAAGAAATGGTAATTATGTAATGTGATGGAAGTATTAGCTGATGCTACATTGGTAGTCATATTGCAATATATAAATGTAACAAATGAATGCATTGTATACTTTAAACTTACACATTATTATATTTCAATTATATCTCAGTAAGGCTGGAAAAAATCCTTTCATTTTGATGTTACTTGGTGATACTATTTAATTTCAAATAAAATAACTGTGAGCATAAATAAATTCTCAAGAATAAATGATTACATTAATTATGCTATTTTAGTTCAAATAAATCAAATAAATATATTCAGGGAAAGAAAGAAAGAAACTTTAGTCAAGTTAAAAGAATTGTCAGACTTTGGATAAATATTTCTGTAATAAAATAGATGAATTACTTACTAAGAATTGCATACACATCCATGAACAAAAATTGACTTTAGAGAATAGAATAATTATTTCTTAAATGTTTCCAATTTTCGTCAATATAGAATGACTTCTCCCTATAAAATCATTTCTCAACCTACCGTCCACGTCTCTTAAACCTCACATCTTAATTTTTGTTTGACATATTATCAACATTACATAGTTAAGGCATATAATGTACACATCTTGTCAATGACCACAATTTCCAGTACTCAACCTTTCTTTGGTATTTAAATGGATTTAATGGTGCCATTTGTGTTTTACCTCAGTCTTTCTATTCCTGAAGGGTATTGTTTTTATTAATTTGTTCTCTGACATGTATTTTATTTATGTCTTGGAGCTTTTGTTGTTTTTGTTTCCTTGTTTTCCTGAGATATATCAAGAGGTACTTATTCCTTAAATTCTTGCATATTAAGAAAAGCCTGCTCTGTTTTTTTAAAAACAAAAGCCAACAGGGCTTTGTATAGATTTTTTTTTTGCTCACTATTCTCTTCCTCAGAACTTTTTACATGTTGCTCGACTATTTTCTACAATTTAATGTTCTATCTTCTCCTCAAATGATGATTGCACGTCAGTGTGGAAGAATAACCTCCCTCCTTCACCTCCTTCACAAATCCATGGAAATCCTTCTTCTAGATCAGCCACCCAAAACCTTAAACCAAAACCCCTCTCTGGTCTTTTGTTCCTTGAGTGAAGTTAGAAGGGTTAGTGTTCTCGCTATTGCCCTTGTCCCTTCTCACCACTGGCACTTGCAACCATCTGTAGCTTGAAGCAGATTCCAGCATCTACTGACTCTCAGGCCCTACTTTTTGCCTGTAGGCTCACATTAAGCTATTTGGTGTGGTGTGAAATATAGGGGTCATGAAGACCACAGACAGAAGCCAGTACCTGCTACTGTTGAGATTAGCTTATCATGAACACTAACACTCCAGAACAAATCTAGCTGGATGTAGGGGTTCTCTTTATCATAGACCTGCTACTCAATGCTACTTCCTATCACTGTCTTGTTCCTAAAATTACACTGAGCAAGTGAGATCAAAATTCTGTATTCTCAATCGACACAGTCTACATTCCTGTTTCTAATTAGAAATTATTTTCTCCCCTACCTCCGATTATTACTTAGAATATGAAACATCCAATGAATTCCATCTCATAGGCCACCATATCTACAAAATCTCAAGAGGAAATTTACTGTCATATGCATTCTGTGCTCTTGGTTATATCACCTATGACATATTTATTATATAATCATGTAATATACTCAATAATACATAATTTGAACAATATGTTCTTAATGAATTTTTCAACTTGTTGTCTATGTATCTAAACTTTAGCTATAAAGAGAATGCTATGAGGTTATCAAGAATTCACCACGATCAGCCTGTGAAGCCCCTGGATCGAGCAGTCTTCTGGATTGAGTTTGTCATGCGCCACAAAGGAGCCAAACACCTGCGGCCAGCCTCCTACAATCTCACCTGGTACCAGTACCATTCTTTGGATGTGCTTGGGTTCCTGCTAGCCTGTGTGGCAACTATTATCTTTCTGGTCACAAAATGTTGCCTGTTCTGTTGCTGGAAGTTTGGTAAGACAGGAAAGAAGAAAAAGAGAGAGTAGCTTCCCATGAGTTTGTCTGGAAATCTTGATAGGGCCCATCCAAATTAATCTAGCCAGTCACCTGAACAGATTCCTCTACCACTCTTCCAAGTTCTTGTCCGTTCCTTGGCTTATAAAGTCAGAGATCATAGAGTCCCCTAAGGAGTTTGCCACATAATTTAGAATTAAGGTTTAAAATAATTTAGTCTTTAAAAAGAGGAGATAAACATATAAAAGCATGGGAGTTGCTACTATTGAGATCTTAGTGCTTTACTTTATTCATTTCAGTTCAGCAAACTGAGATGCTATTTGAGGCCTTAAGAAAATAATGATTAATTCTATGTTCAATATCAATCATATTGAACATTTTCTAAATATTTAACATCATTTTCATTCCCATATGTTATAATTACTGCATATTCTCGAAAACAAGAAGACAAGGAGTAGGATGGAGCAAGCTGTAGCCAGAGTGTCCCTTCCAATTACAAATATCAGGAGACTGTCAGGGTTTCTACTCTGCTGTGAAGTCTGTTTTATGTCACCAATTTACTTTCATATTACACGTCTGACTTTGTCCTCCTTGGAATATAAAACATTATTTTTTGTCTTCGATTTGAAGATTGCCTTTGATTTGGAAACTAATAGTGACATTACTTGATTTGTATTGTAACACTTTGTGGCTCCAGAAAACTAGCTGATTTTGACAAGTTGGCATGATTGATGGTATGGTGGAACAAAAGGAAATTATTGAAATTCAATACATACCTTTTAAAGTCACTTAAATTTAAAAAAGAATTCTTTCCTACGTTAGTTTTACCTATGATATCCATATTTGGAAAGAAGAGACAAAACTCCTAACTACACTGCAGATACTTGGGTGGGAAAAATGCATTTCTCAGAGATGCTATTTGTTATGGGGATGATTTCTCCATCTAATCAGGAACTCACTGAGTTTTACCATTTCTTCATCTTCCTTTCCTCTATCACTTCTGCTCCTCTCATGAACTCTACTGTGACCACTATACCAGGCACAAGTAGTTAGGCTTCTTGTTAACTAGCGTTAGCAGAAATCTGCAGTCAACTTAGAGACATAAATTGAATTTTACTAGAAGTAAGGCTTTCTCTTCCTTTCTTTTCTAAAAAGACCCTCTTCAAATATATTTTCCAATTCTTCGCCCTTGAGTTCAAAGAATCATTCAATCTAGCTGTGATAGCATGATCTATTAAGCGAGTTCAGTAAGTGATTTACCACAGAGTTTGATATTTATAACCCAAAGCTTAGCAGACCTACAATTATAGCTCTGTCTTAGAGAAATATGAATCATTAGGGGGATGCCTGTTTTTTACATGAATACTAGCAGAAATAAGAGGCAGATAAAAAATTTATTCTTAGGAAATTAAGTATAAAGAAATATAGGAGAAAAAAGATATTTTCTCAATTTATGAAGATTTGAAATAATTGAATAATTATAATGTTTTCAAGTATAGAGTTAAAAAGTTTAAACACTAACGTTTCTGGGTTTAATATCTAATTAATGTAATCAAAGCAATAACTTACAATGTTGCTGAAATATTAATTCTGGCAATAAGATAATGTTCTTTAATATAATAGTCTTTAAAATCATAGCTTAATACTTAGTTATGTCAAAGTCTAGATATCCTTTCACTTTTTCATTGCTTTAAAATAATGTAACATAAAAGAATTAAAGTAAACTCGAGATTTGATATTTTGTTAGCAATTTCTGAGTTTGTTCAAAAGAACTACCCTAAAAATAGATGATATATCTTATCTTGTAGAGACAAAAGCTTTTTTTAAAAACAAATATTTACCTATTTAATCATGTATGCATCATTATATTAAACATATTAACATTCTAGTAATAATTTTTGATATACCGAGGCTAAACCTTTGTAATGTATTATATTTTATCCTGTTTAAGTTTTAATAAAAACACAATTTTCAGGAGTTTAATGACTTCTGACTTTCCTATTCACTTAAAATAACATTTTAAATACTTTATCTTTGAACTACTTACAATTCCTATGTGACTGTATTATAAAATTCTACTCAAGTTTCTTCTGCATCATAAAGTAACTGAAAATATAACAAGTAGATGTAAATATTTTGTACACACTCACATGAAAATATATGTGAACAAAAAGTCGTGTTCTGCATGTTATGAATAAAAACTGATTTGTATTGTTGTGTGTTTGGACTTTTTAACTTCCTTGGCTTTTACAATGAGGGAAATATTTGTTTCTGTCATGTGTTACATATTTTACCACAAATAATGATTCTCTTGTAGACCCAGATCCACCACACTCGCTAAATTAGTGGAATGGTATCCATGATATTTAAAGTATTATACAGCTGGGACTGAGAGGAGTCTTCTGCCTATGGAACAGAGAACCTAAGTTCTGCAGTGGGCACTGAATCACTGCCTACCTTCTACTTCTCACTTTCATTTTCTCCCTGGGTTCTTTGCTTCTAAATCCCACTCCGGTTCTGCCATTGTTCTGGATTATGGCTATAAACCCAACCAAAGAAGCTGAAATCCTAATCTCTCACTCTCAGTGCCTGCAAATCATTTCCCCCAAAGACGATTCTTTCATCCACTCTGATGAAATCCCCTCATAAATGATACCAGTAACCCATATGATATCATGAAATGAAGGCATCTTTCACAATTAAAGCAACTGTCAGATAATAAAATCATGATCATTCCATGAAGCAAAGCCACCCAACTGTCCTAGAGATACATTGTGCTAATTAAAATGCCTCATTGGAGCTCCTATCTCCTTTCAAGGAAACTCTAGACATAGGGTCTCAGCTGCAGGTAATGGTGGAGTCGGTGGGGGGAGTATTAAAAATCTCCTACAGAGTTGGAATAAAGTAGATCTTTCTTCTTTTTTAATATAAAACTGATATTTTATGAATAATTAGTATGAACTGAAGGAGGATTCACTTTCCAGGTGTCATGAGGGTGTTGCGTGAGAGGTAGAAGAAACAACCTCTGTTAGTATTCCTCCTGCACCATCACTTTCCAGTTAGTGGTGACTTTCCATTCCAGATGTTCATAAAACCCAATGCCAAACACCTGGAGAATCCTTAAACTTAAAATGTGATTTCATCCATGCCTTTATATGTTTAGAAGACTAGATGAGGAGGACGCTGGTCCACAACTAGTTACTACTCTTAGGTCTCAAAGACATAAGTTAAGCAGATTATCTGCCAGATTTTTTTACATAGCAATGACCCCACTACAAAATCATGTCAATCCTAAAAACGTTATGAATGCAGACCTGACCATGGACCTGTCCCTCATTCCTGAGTCCATATAACAGATTGCTATGAGGTGTTATTCATTTTTTCTTCTTACTGGAAAATACAATGCATATGAACCACATGTTCCAAGTTCTTCCACTGAGCACGTCTTAAGACATTGCTCCTCTAATTGCTTAGCTGCTTTGTGATATACTATTTTATCTCAACATAGATCAGAATTTGATTCCAATTAGAATCCCAGATGAGATCTCTTTACTAGATTAAATTAAGCAGGGTCTATTAACGATTGTGCTTGCATTCGGGAGAAAGAAAAATATTTAGATCTTCTAAAGGTTATTTGATAATCACTTCAAATTGACTAATCTCTGTAGACCCAAAACACCACTATGGTACAAAAGAAAGAGTGAGAACTCATAAGGGCCAAACAATAAGTAAAGATTTCCCCTAAGTTCTTCTTACAATGGATTTAGTAGAACCATGAAATCATCTTATATTATTTCTCTGATCCCACAATGTAGATACACTTGATACCTGACAGAATGTCTTTTTGGATCACCTCACTTGCATGGTAGCAGCCTCATGGTTATCTTCGTGGAGGTCTAGAGGCTAGCACTAACTCTGGGCCAATATAAGGGTAGTGACTAACTAATGATTTATGATTTGTTGTTTAAGTTTGAAGGTCTTCCCTCTCTTTTCCCATTAGCCTCCAAGGCCAGTTTGTTTATTGATGGCTTACAGCAACTGATGCAACCTACGAGATGGGCTGGTTTGGTAAAAGGACTAGAGGAGCACAAAGGACCAAATTAGCCATTTTTTCTTGTACAATCAAGAAAATTCATCAAACAAATCTTGGTGGTTCATATCCTAATGCAAAGTGTGTCCTGTAAAAATAATAGAGAAACCTGAAGATCTGTGCCTGGAAGTCCCTTCAACCCTTGAGTTCACCTTTACTCTCTTTCTCTAACTAACTCTATAAGCTCTAATTTTCCTGCATTTAAAGCATTACGTGAGTATTCTTTATAGGTCCTGTGAGTCCTTTCAATTATCCAAGCTAGAGATCTTCATGAAAGGCCAAGTGGAGGCCACTGGCATATCCTGCCACTCACCTTCCATCAAGATAATAAATCACAAGCACTGGCATAAGTCTCAGGTGTTTTCAGCTATTCATGCTACCATCAAAGACTAGGAAGATACAGAGGATATGATCCCTGTCTTTTAACACACCTATTTGGAGAACTAAAAGTTAGACAGGTCATGGAAACAACTATGATTTATCACAAACCTAATTAGTTAGTGATGCCAATCACAGGTGCAAGTTCAGATGTGATATTTTTAGTGAGGCAAATCAAAACAGCTCCTAGCATCAGATATTTAGCTATTAATCTGGAAAACGCTTTTCTCACCTATACCTACCAACAAAGACAATCAGTGCCTGTATTTACTGTGGCAATAGATACCAGTTTACAATATTCGAATTGTGAAGATATTTTTGACCTACATAAATGCGTATCAGAGGTCATTCACTACAAAAGAAACACTTAGTCATCCGAAGGACATGACAGCCTATTCTGTGGATTTCAGTCAGCTTCTTCCTCTAGCCTACCTGCTTCTCACAATTACAAAATGGCCCTGGTAACATGGGCTACATAAATGTACATCCACTTTTAGAAGCAAATTTGCTTTTGCCACTGCGTGTGTTTAATATTCTAATAGATAAAGCCAATATTGAGCCCCCAATTGTCGAGCATCATTTCCTGAAGGGACCAGCCACGCTGTGAGTATTAAAATGATACACTGGACGCTTTCCAGCCTGCATAGGGAGTTTTTGGTCCTCATAGGGTGATACACATATTCATAGTACAAATTTGCCCTTTCCTACCTTCAGTTTTTCTTCTAGGACCACTGCTCACTAACTTAGTGACTGCCTTTTCCCTTGTGATGGTATCCCACACATCACCTCTGAATAGGGAGCACAGTTTACAACAAAGGAAGCATATAAATAGACTAACTGGCCTTAATATTAGTGTTGTACTGAGTTTTTGATTTTAATTTTACTCAGATTGTAGCAAAACTCAATTAATTGAGAGGTAACATAAAGCAGTATATCTAAGAAATCACACAAACCACATAGTAAGCACTTACAGTTAAAGATTTCTTGCCTTCAAATGATAAGTTGATAAACAAACAAAAAATATGGGACAAGGGTGTTAGACTCAAAAATCTCCAAGTTGGTCTCACTGCCATGAATGAGAACAGGTGTTTTCTGCTTACTGATGTTTCTTAGGGAGACACAGAGAGCTAAGCACCTGGACTGCTAGATGGGAATGGCTTCATGATGATATGGCAGGTTGGGCTTTTGTACTAGTTAGGCACTAGATGTTCTTGTATGTTCTTGTGACATTTCACATTCTTTGGTTCAAAATTTTTTAATTGAGTTAGCTCATTAGAGTTTCTTCATTATTCTTAAATGCACCTGTGCTTGTCATATTCCTAACTGTTCAGTGAGAGGTAGTTACTTATTTATCAGGATATTCAGATTCACTTGGGGTAACATAAATCAGTAAATGAGCTTAAGGCCAAATTAAGTTTACTCCTAAGGAATATTCCACATAAGGCAATTATAAATAAACGATCACAAGTAAACATAACAAATCATCCTTTGCAATATTTTGAAATATGCTTCATAATATCTCAAATTACTTAAAACAACTGACTCCATACATTTGTATACTGGTCAATTAAAAGCAGACAGATGGCTGCTTCTGGAGATCTGTCATACAGGAAGTGGTGAAGACCTTACTCTAGGGTCAGTATAGGAGGCCATTGCCTCCACAACCAGAATGTAAGTCTGGGACCATGAGGAGGAAGTATCCTCTAACACTATTACAAGAAATAAATCCTTCAGCAATTTTTGGTTCCAGTCTCCATGACATTATGGCTCAGTGGGTTTGAAGATCCTTTTGCTTGAAGAAGGAATGCATTCATCAGCAAACAGTCCTGTAGTTTTAGAAGTTGAACCTGGACTCTGTCCTCTACCTGAACCAACAGACAAAGAAAGGAATTTAGGATGTTGCTAAGCAATGAACAAAGAGCACTATTTTGGGAATCCAGGAGATTCATTTGGGATGTCTGTTAACAATACCATGCCCAATAGTACCAAACAATGGGAAGCCACAACACCCAAAAAGGCCAGTTATCACTAAGAACTGGGCACTTATAACTGCTACCTTCTCTTGACTTTAGATTGGGTTGGTATCAGCTCTTTCAGTTGTGAGTCCAAAATTTCTGCACTATCCTTTGATGATTCCCCTAAATTCTGATTCCATGTCCAGAAATAGCTACAGATTTGATATTAAATTTTTAAGTACGTTTGCAATGAAACTACTGAAAAGAAGCAAATATTGAAGAAGACATTAAAATACTATGTGAGGATGTGCCATTTACACAAAATATGTATCTATAGTTAAAGGCACTACTACAGATAATCAGTGTGTTTAAAGAATAAATCTCCTCCTAAGAAAATTTATATTTTAAATTTTATTACAGTACATTTCTGCTGTTCACAACAAAATAATGCTATTTGGGAAAGTCACTTGTTTAACAACTTAACGTATTTTTTTGTAATGGCTTTAATGATGCCTTACTTAGATGTTCTCCCTCCATACGAAGCTTTAATTATGCATGTTATCAATCTAGTTTACCCAATGAGATTAAAGTCTTTGAGTGTTTATTCTTTCAAAATATATATTTTACTTATATCTTCCCAAGTTGAAACAATAAAAATATCTAACTTCCTTTAAGAAATGTTGTGTTATTGAAAGAATTTTTGAAAGACAGTTGTATATACAGCTATTATTCCACATAAAAAAAGATTTCTCATTCTTTCTATATTTTCTCAAATAC